GAAAGCTATGATAGATAATAGATTCTTGGCAAATTTGCCCGTGTCTGCATTTGTTGATTCAACATTCATACTGAAAACCACGAGTTGGTACGAAATCTCTTTTGCAAAAACGAGGTTTGATGTGATGTGAATATCCATATCTCTGGCTCTTAGGAGTACACAGTCAATCTGGTTATAATGAACAAAATCTTTCCTTGTCCAAAAGTTCCTTGTTTTATTGTACCGGAGATTATAGTATTTCACTGTATCCAAAGTCTGCACGTTTACATTCACAAATAAAGCAATACACTATATGTATTTATCAATGAAAATGTCGCAAAAAATAAACAAGACAACGAAGCTCAATTTATAGATTCTGAGTAGTAATTTTTATTTTCAGTGGGTGGATAACTTATCTTATAGATGTCATTGAATGCTCCATTGGAGACTGTACTTTTCTCGTCTAATGTATTGTAAGATTGAAGATAAAAGCAATAGATTGGCAGATTTAGTATTAGAAAATCTCATCATAAATCACTGCAAGCAAAAAATAAAATAAAATAAACAACTGTCATGTATATTTACTGAGGATATTATTTCCATACATTTAGCTGAAATTTCCTTCGCGGCACTCAATAGCCTCCTTGTTGGTGACTTCATCACTCTCTCTTTTTACATCATTTGTAAGAGTGCAGTTAACGATTTCTGGTCATTATTTTCTTCCATTACCGTTCAACTTATGGATCAGCGGACGAATAAATCATTGTTGTAATGTTGCCTTCTCCTGACATTTTGTTGATGTCATGCTGAATTTTCAGACCGTAATGAACTTTTTATTATAACCAATTGACAAATTTTCGTGATAGCCTTACAATATATAACCTAATTTGTTATTAAATTCGCTATTACTACTTACAGTGATTGGACAAGCGCTTGGAACAAAGACCTACCTTTGTACATTTGATTCTCTTTCCAATCATAATCACTGGCGTGCAGTATTGTTAGATGATTACTCTATATGTAAGACAATACAATCATATTATTGCACAAACGTCCTTTACGAAACTAGATGACTTAAGACTTTTTAGATTCGGGTAAAGTAGATAGGGAAAGAAGAAACTTACCGGTGGAATGCAAGCTTGTATTCTGACTTTGGAGTTCAATTGCCTATGCTGAATCAAACGGGTTTCACATTTAAAAGCAATATTGACTTTCATTTAGACAAACTTTTGGTCTGCTCGACGACATTCTATTTACCGATTAATCGAAATCACTGATGAAAAACAAAGGCTACGATTAAAGTTTAAAATTGAGGCATTAATTCCAAAAAATTGTTAACTTTGCGTTTTAGCTTTCAGGTAGACATCAGGCCATGATGGTGTACTGGAAGAATTCAACAAACCGTTCAAATTATTGATTTTGTCTATACCTTAGTAACAGCATTGGGAGAAACTGTATTAGTATATGACCTTTAACGCAATAGCATGTTCTGAAAACGCGTTCTCGTATACGTCCTAATAAATTACGTCGATTTTGGTTTCGAATAAGAAAAACCGCTATTTGTAGATCAAGAAAAAAACCCCCAGATGTTGTTAAAGCGACAAATAAGGAAGTTATTCCCCAAAAATCAGAAAACCTGATATAGAAGACATGTCCTTTCAAATAAACATTCGAGAAATTTCTACATAACTCCATCATATACATGGTTTATCGGTAGTAAATAATCCTACTAGTCGCTTGTGAGATTTATGACACCCAGCTATTAATAGTACGCGTGGCTTATCGATAAACCACTGGTCACTACCTGTGAGAATATAAATTTCACTATGCGTATTCCGGAACATTAATTTTCGTCATTAAGATGTCATTATATCATAGAAATTAGCTTAATCAAATTATGCGCGGAGTATTACCATTGATTGCTACCTCCTGACCGCCCGTGGGAGTGAAAAAACTTTTTACTGCTGTACCACGTTGACGTCGATACTTTATAAGGATGCTTATGACGCGATTGATGTATGAGTCATTATTTGTTATCTAACACGCAAACACGCGTCTGTTAACATATATATATACCCCCCTTTTCTCTCCTTCTCCCCCATCAAAGTACAAATGCATAATACACAACAACAATCATCTATCGGCACACTATATACGCACATACAGCACGAAACAAGTTCTCGACAAACTTTTAACACCCAACAATGACAACCGCTTTATCAACCGTTCGCTGATGAAAGACTTTTACTCATATGTAACTCAAACTATTGTACATGTATCGCTGTCCGACAACCTCTCTTTCACCAAAGCGCAAAAACAACGTTATTTACCAAATTAAAGTACAACAAACAATCCTCTGCCGCACTCTCTATTACGCACGACAAGTTTGCTATGACACATGGACAAGTTCTCTAACGATACGGCACAGTTTATTGACGACTAAATAAGAAAGAAGTTCAAATACACGCTTCCATATACGCCCGGGAATAACTACGTTATAAAAAAACAAGGCATGTGGATGGTTCGTTTGGGTGGGGGCCGGGGTGTTTATTCAAAGTATAGTTTTTTGAGCACCGCCTGTTGACCTGGTTCGTTCAGACTCACTCTCATTAATTGACGTTTGGCATGTTTCTTTGGGGCATATAACCCTTTGACATCGTACAAACTCCCTCTCGTTATTATGGATAGTTTGACATGTTCCGGTCCGGGCCTTGGGGTGCTGTTACCTTTATTATAACTCAAAGACCAAAGTCGAAAGATCAATGTCGTTGCAGATAAAGGTCATTAAACTCCTTTGGGTAGCCCCCATTGTTCTTCGTTCCCTTGCTAGGAATTCGTTCTTACCCCACCCCCTCTTTTTTTTTAAAGATCTAGACATCGAATAATGCGAACGCTTTTCTCAATAGCACGGTTAAGAAAAGAAGCAGTTTATTACTGAAGAGACAGCTATAGAAATTGCTCGAGGAGTAAAAGTAATAATGTTATTGTAGATTGTGATTTAAATTTGATTCATACAATTTTTATTATTAAATTATGTTTTGTTATTATAGTTAGTAAAACTTATATCAGTCTTTTGATAGGATAGACTTAGATGGTAGTCTAGAGCTGGGGAGCGAGATACTGAGAGAGAATAGTTCGATTAAAATCTAAGTTCAAAACTTTTTTAATAAATAATAAATTATAAATAATTTTATGTATTGTTATTATAAAATAAATTTTCTAAATAAAGCCTCACCATGTATGATAATGGGTCAAATAAATTAACTTAGATTTTAATATACATATATTTTCCTAATTTGAATTGTTTTAATTTTCGCTTTCTCATTTAGACTGTGTAGTTTATACCACCCAGCAAGTACAGTCAATATTTATATCCGATATTTATTATTAGAAATGTTGTATTATTGTTGACATTATTTTTCTGAAAGATCCGGTCAACGAGTTCATGTGTGAATTGGCACAATCGGTCCTTGCGGGTGGCCACAACTTCTCGAAATTTCTGCGTACGCTTGTACACGAATCTTTGTCGTTTCCAATTGAGACTAGACCCGACATCGATAGCGAATTTATGATCTGGATATTTAGAAAAGAGATATGCACACTGCCTTTCAAGGTTATTTTTTGCTTTAATTAAATATCCTGTTCGACGGGTTTATAATTTATGTGCGTCTTTATTTTTATTTATTTGATAGAAAAGTCTTGTGTGCTTTCTGAAACAATCTGTCGTACAGTGGGTGCTCAAAGTCTCCGACTACCCCATTAATTTTATTTGCGTTTGTATTGAGTTACATTTCTGCATTCGGGTTGGGTTTATACGTAAATTTATTCAGCGAAATGAAGAAATAAAGCATTACGAAGAAAATGTTCAAAATTCAATAATTTTACAATTATCTGCGCTATTAACAAACTTTTATAAATGTAAACAATATGGTATTATAATGTGAATAATTTATTGTTCTATTCAAGCAAATGCATATATAAATTTCGCTGATTATTGATTGAAACATGATCATATGCACGATGCAATGCGTGTATTTACAATGTAAGACGTTGCATTCGACTTGTCACTCCCTTTTATGATTTTGCAAAAAAAAAAAAAAAGCGGTTTATTTTATTTGGTAGAGTTAATCGTGTATGAAGTCAACCGCTCACGGATTAGTTAACATGCATTGCGGAATTGTTCCCTATGTTCGTCTGTCAATGACACACCAAGAATATGGTGGAGCAATGTTCTGATTTGTCCACAAGTCATGTCTATAGTCATGTCAAAGCACATTGGTCAATTTACAACCACACCAGCCACTCTGTGTGTGTAGATAATAAATAACGCAAATCTCCAGCCACTTTGTGTTCATAAAAATGTTCTCACATTGTTGCCCTTTTACTGGGACATTCCAAACGTAACATATCAACGTCGGAGGTTGAAGAAAACTTCCATTGGTACGAGAGAAGATAACATCGATATGCATGCATGTAACCATTCTTTTGATTTGTGATTGTTATTTAGATGCCGTTATGAAAAGCGTTCAGGAGGGCGTGCATATACACGCTTTCTCAAAACTTAAAAGTTTTCGCCAAGGCTTTTCTACTGCCTCATTCGCACTGTAGTAACTAGACAAGATCGAGAACATCGACAACCAAGTGATCTTACTTTCCCGATCGATGTGTGTCTCCAAATACCCGATATGCCATTACTCATTGCGCGGCATATTAGTATGACAATGCTACGATATGTAACGTGATTGTCCTACATACAACTTTGATAATTTTGAACATTATGTAACAAAGGTAAATGTTACCGCGGCAAGTTTCACTGTACTTTGCAGGAAAAAAAAATACCAAGTGTTAAAGTACGAGACCTAACGTTCGCGAACTTAATTTCACTTTCTCCATTTCAAAACTTATTAATACAAAGGTTCTCTGCTCCGCTTCCTTGACAGTCGGCCGTATCTTTACACATAAGCCGAACCCACCCAAACGAGCTTCCCGATCACGCGAATTTTACATAGCTTGGGGATATTATGGCTGCGTCCGGTCCCTCACTTGTTGCGCCCGACGTTATCACACAACTTCAGAACGTTCTTTCGAACTTGGCCTCTAACGACAATAATTTGCGCTCACAAGCTGAACGAGAGTTAAACGACCACTGGATTTCATCACAACCTGACTTGCTGTTGTTATCACTTGCACAGCTCGGATGCACTCACCAGAATACTCATGTGCGTGTCATAATCAACACTTATATAAATCCATGTCTTCATGGCTTTAACACTGAAATCCAACTTATTTATAATTAAATTAGGGGCGTTCGTTTTCTTTTGTTTTACTGCGTCGAATCGCGTTCAAACAAGCTCCAAATCAAATTCAGAAAACAGAAGAAACCACAGTCTGGGATGCTCTCCAAGAGCAAAGTAGGAAAGCTATCGAGTCTCAACTAATATTAGCTTTATCGGTGGAGCGGGAGCAAACAGTACGGCATAAGGTTTGCGATGCCGTTTCTGAAGTGGCAAAGAATTCCTTCTTAAGAGGACGTAAGTGATAAAAAAAATTTTCTTTTGTATTTTTTTTTTTTTGCCATGCCACCGATTGCATTACCTAAATCTAAATTTATCTTGTGTTTTTAGAGGAATGGGTTGAACTTCTTCCTGCTCTTTTTGAGGCGAGCAAATCTCCTTCGGCTGAACATCGCGAAGCTGCTTTTCGTATATTCTCAGCAGTACCTAATTTACTGACAGATCAGTCTTTGGATATATTAAAACAAATTTTTGCGGTCAATTTACAATACCCGAATGGTGCGGTGAGTAGACTTTATTTCATAAACCGCTTGTGTAGCTCTAATAATAGTTCTAACGAGTTAATGTCTGATTAGGTGCGCATGGTTTGTCTAAAAGCTGCCGTAGCCTTTGTGTTGGAAGCAGATCAACCCAGCCGTAATTCTTTTGCTGAATTAATGCCACAAATGCTTGACGTACGTGTCTATTCGTGTCGAAAATTAAGAGCATTATTGGCTACATTATTCAATTATTTTATGTCTTGTGTTATTAGGTGTTATCCCCCCTTTTGCAAGAACGCGATGAGGATGGATTGGTCGATGGGCTTATGGTGTTTATAGAATTGGCCGAAAATTTACCAAGAGTGTTTAAACCAGCGTTACCTGTCGTAGTGCAATTCAGTCTAAATGTCATGAAAGACAAAACGCTGGAAGATGGAACTCGTCAGACTGCCCTGGAACTCTTACTTACATTATCCGAATCATCTCCCTCAATGATGCGTAAGGCGGCAGACTTTTGTAGTCAAGTCATTCCTATTTGCTTGGAAATGATGACCGAATTGGATAACGCCGAAGAGTGGTATACAACAGATGACGTATGTATATTGAAATTGGAATCGAATTTTTATTTTCATTATTTGGCGCTTACTATATTTCTTCTTGGTTCGTAGCTTGAAGATGAGAGCGATGAGAATTGTGTTATAGGCGAACATGCTATGGACCGTTTGGCGAGAAATCTCGGTAAGATGATAAACACGATTGCTTTTTTACTATGCATGACATTAATGGAGTTTGCGAAATAGGTGGAAAGGCTGTGCTTCCTATTGCTTTTCAGTATATCCCCAATATGTTGGGATCGGAAAAATGGGAACAAAGACACGCCGGGTTGATGGCAATTTCTGCTATCGGTGAGGGATGTGTTAAAATAATGGAAGCCGAACTCGGTAAAATTATAGAGTGAGTACTTTGTTGAATATTCACAGATATATATGCATTCAAGAATACTCATATGACCCATTACGCGTTCAGTTTGGTATTACCTTATCTACGAGACCCACATCCGCGAGTACGATATGCTGCTTGTAATGCAGTAGGTCAAATGTCGACCGACTTTCAAGACAGTCTGCAAAAGAAATATCATAATCCAGTTTTGACAAGCCTGATTCCTGTCATGGACGCACCCGAATCTAGGTAACATTTCAGTCAATCAGATGTCTAATATTCAGTTTTCCACTTATAAACAGAGTAATTGTCAACTCAGGGTTCAGGCTCACGCTGCGGCAGCTTTGGTTAACTTTTGTGAAGCTGCTGACAAGTCAATTCTCGAGCCCTATTTGGATGTTATATTCGAAAAGCTTTTGGTTTTGTTGAAATCTGGAAAGACGTATGTCCAGGAGCAAGCTATTACTACAATAGCTACAGTAGCTGACAGTGCGGAGGACCGGTTCGTGAAGGTAATATCAAAATTAATTGTTAAAGCCGTGTTTTCTTTTTGCCTCGTTAAAAGTGTTAACTTTTCTCCCGTATGCAGTATTACGAGGCCATAATGCCTTTGCTGCTCAGTGTTCTGAAGAATGCACATCAGAAAGAATTCAGACTATTACGTGGAAAAGCAATGGAATGTGCTAGTTTAATCGGTATGTAAAATATTTATTTATGTTGGCAATTACTGGTTTACAGATATGAGTTACTGACATTGTTTTGTTCGTTTTAAGCCTTGGCTGTTGGCAAGGAAATATTTGCTCCAACCGCAAATGAATTTATTGAATTATTGGTGCAGACCCAGCGTAAGCATGATGTAGTTCACCATTCATGATTCGTAATCCTAATTTCACCCACATCATTATTAATTTTCTCTTCATTGCAGAGAGTGTCACTGAATCGGATGACCCTCAGACCTCGTATCTCATTGCATCATGGGCCAGAATCTGCAAAGTATTGGGAGAAGACTTTGTACCTTATCTCCAAATAGTAATGCCACCACTTTTGGTATCTGCCCAGTTGAAGCCCGAGTTTGCAGTTGTGGATCGTATGTATTTAACGCAATTTGTGTAATACTTACCGCTGAACAGACTAACGTCTAACGATGTATATGTCTACAGCCGAGGAGGACGTAGAGTCCAAGTATTCGGCTGAGGACGGCTGGGAACTTGTAGGAGTTGAAGGCCAGGTAGATGATAATGTCTATAAGAAGCATTACACTCGACATTTTATTAATTGTGCATTTTTGATTATTTAGCAAATAGGAATCAAAACATTAGTGTTGGAAGAAAAATGTACTGCAGTTGAAATGTTGATCTGTTATGCCCGAGAATTGGGTGCATCATTCCGACCGTATGTGGAAAGCGTAATGGAAATAGTTTTACCTCTGTTGAAATTCTTTTTCCATGATGAAGTAAGAAATGCTGCCGCCGCAGTCATTCCGTATCTTCTTGCTTCGGTTAAGAAGGCCGACGAAAATCCAGAGTATTTAGCGTCTTTATGGCATACTGTTGCCCAGAAAGTGATTGAAGCCATAGCGGGCGAATCGGATCCATTATTTTTATGGCAGTTATATATCACATTTCACGAGTCTCTCGAAACTGCGGGCGATAACAGTTTGAATGCTGACGAATTGGACGCATTCACAAGAGCAACCGAGTCTCAATTGCAGGATTTTTATCAGAGGTTGAAACAACGTGAGCAGGCTAAGCTCAACAAAGAATTTGATGCAGAGGATGAGGATCTGATTTTAGAGGAGCAACAGACTGAAGAGAACGTTCTTGGAGAACTCTCAAAAGCACTACATATCTTATTAAAGACGCACAAGACCGCTTATTTACCATCTTTTGATCATCTACTTCCAATAATCACAACCTTTTTATCCGATACCAATTCTGCCGCACGTCAATGGTCTTTGTGTGTATTTGATGATTTAGTCGAATTTACTGGACCCGAGTCATGGAAGTATCAAGGTCATTTTCTGGGAAAAATGGTTGATTCCCTCTTGGATCCGGGTTAGTAATATTATTGTTGGCCTTGGACACGTCGATTTTATTTGCTCATTGGAAACCATTTTTAGCTTCTGATGTCCGGCAAGCTGCAGCGTATGGTATTGGCGTTTGCGCACAATTTGGTGGTGAGAATTATGCAGAAGTCTGTGCTGGTATGTAAACGCTATATATTGAAGTGCTGAATTTTCTCCTGTTTTTACTTTGAGAGTTTGCATTTGGCTATTTTTTTTTCTAAAGCACGGTGATCTTTTTAGCTACACTTACACCATTGTTTCAGATAATAAACGCACCGGACGCTCGAAAAGACGATAATGTTTATGCTACCGAGAACGCCGTTTCAGCACTAACTAAAATTCTCAAGTTTAACAGTAGCAAATTTGATGCCAATTCAGTTTTGCCATCCTGGTTTGCCGCTCTTCCAATTTTGTATGATGAAGAAGAGGCACCTCTCACTTATTCATATCTTTTAGATTTGTTGGAAATGTAAGCAGAGATTTTTAGTCACTCTTGAGTTTTTACCATTTCCTTTGCCTTGCGAACTTACAAATTCTCCGTGTTGCCGCTATAGACAACATCCTGTCATCTTAGGAAACAATCATGCCAACATTCCTCGCATTATAAACATGCTTGTAGACGCTCTTGCATCGTCTATTCTTCCTGTGGATTTAGCAAACCGCGTTGCAAATGATCTAAAGGCAATAATTGGCCCATTACCAGAAGATGCCAAAGCGTCACTATGGAATTCTATCGCACCCGAGAAAATAAAAGCTTTACAGGTAAAGTTTTTACAGCCAGTATAAAAGCGATCTATTTCATATAATCTGACAAACGTTGTCAATTATTTTATAGGATTTGCAATATTTCTAAATGCATAGGAATCTCAAACTTTTCGTTCAAATGATGCACAACCATTATAATCCTACAATGAAATAGAAAAGTAAAATATTATTATCATCAGTACAGTACACTAGTAATAACAGTTGTAACTTTCATACATATTAGAAGCATTGGATTCTTTACCACGGTTGATGTGTGTTGTCACATTATCTAATCTATTTTCGATACATTTTGTTGTATACTTTGGCCTATATTTTAAATATATACGAATGCAATGAACAGGCATGCATTTTCATGGATAATCAGGAATGAGAAAGAAAAAGATGAATGTGCATGTATTACAAGACTTGGCATACAGTGAGGGTTTATCTTGTTCTGGGTTTGATTGCAAGGAGGTATGCTAAATTCATACCAGGTTGCAAGTGTGTTTATTTATCAGTTATTGCAATGCAGAATAATCATATAATTTATTAAATAGAGATGCATAGTCTTTCTACATTCTGAGTTGATAAATTTGATCAGAAAGGGTTGAAAATTTTGAATATCAAATCATATATTCAACATACCCCCACCCCCAAGCCAGTAAAGACTGTACGTGCAATTCACATATTCGTCAACAGTAGATTCAGCATTCCTTCATAACCGATTTGGATCCACCCGTCATTGTCGGTATCAACTTTTCTGAATGCATCAGTCAGACTTCTTATAGTCACACATAACTGCACAAAGTTATCAAAGTTCACCGCAACTTCGTTATGTCCGTGGCCATGCGGCTGATGATGCTTGAGAGAAGCGGAAGCACGGTGTCTTATCTCATACTTTTTGATAATTTTGAAAAGAAGAGCATCACTAACGTTGAATCCAAAAGAAACAAGAGCCTGTTTCAACTAATAAACATATAAAACAAATGTGAATTAATCAGATTTCCAAATCAGTCATCGCACCCTGATCATAGGTAAAATGCACTACTTATGTATGTAATGCATGCATATACATACGAAACGTGCGGGCATGCATAGATCGTATAATTCTTTCCTTACTTACTTCATTCATCTCTATGGTCCCACTACTGTTGCGATCGACTTGGATAAACACGCGCCGCCAATCTTCAATATATCTCCATAACCCCGCAAATTCATGATATCCAATGCATCCACTTCTATCCGTATCAAATAGGTTAAACAGTAGCTGTACGGTATCATCATTGAAAGGCGTCCAGTCGCCATTCGATAGACCTTGTTTAAGTTCTTTCGTCGTTATTGATCCAGACCTATCCACATCTACTGCAGCAAAGTACGAAGCGAGTTGAGAGTCTGAAGTACCGTAAGCTTGGTGCTGGGAGTGCTGGGCGTGCTGGGAGTGCTGGGCGTGCTGGGAGTGTTGTTGGGCATAGTTATAGTTATAGTGTGCCATTTTTTTTCCCAGACCAAAAGTAATACTAAATGTTTATTAGTGTGTGAACTAATATTAATTCTTGGCATAAATCGAATTGTGACACCATTTATTCCCAGTCTGCAATTTTTGATAATCAGCAAAAAACGCTTTTTCAAAATGTCAGGTAGGCAAGCTTTCAAAGACATTGACAAGTCTTGTAGTCGCTTAATGACTGTGTTTGTTTTCTCCAATATAGACTATTCTCTAAGTTCACCCAGACAGGTAATGTGTCTTGCTCCAAATCTTGACCAAAATGCTCTTGCATTCCGAAATTCATGAGACTTTATGTTCCAGGTAACCGGTCGGACCTTAAAACAATCACTCCGACCGGTGACCATTGCTCAAATAATGAAGGCGACGGAGGAACACGAAAAAACTCTGTTTATAGACGACGAAGAAGTTTCACAGGTTGAAAACTGATTTTTGAACTAAAACATCCTTATTATTCGAGATCTGTCTGAATTCTGCCTTCGTTGAGACCTGTTTTTCTTCTCCACAAAGCACAGGTCAAGCTAATAGCGAATGTTTGTTCCGTTAGCGTAAATCCGTCGTGCACGACGTATACTTTGGGAGATGGTACTGGTATTATAAGGGCAAAGGAATGGCATGCCGACGATGAATCGGCGTTTAACAGAGAACGAATTATGGTGAACACTTATGTTCAAACTTTCGGAAATGTAAAAGCTATAGAGACGGAAAGATACATTTCTATATTCCAAATAAGACCCATCAAAGACCATAACGAGTTAACTCATCATTACCTCGAAGTCTTGAGTGTTCATCTGTCAATCACACGTGGCTCTCTTGTGAGTTGTACAAATATTAGTTTAATCTTTCCTAATGACTTGCAAACTCTAATTACACCTCTTTTTATATGATTAGCCTCCGCCGCAACAGACTCTTCCATCTTCGAGCTTTTCTAGTCAATCGGAATCATCTTCTTTATCTTATCTGCCTTTTTCGTACTCTAATAACGTTTCGGGGATTCTCCATAACGACGAAGGCTTCGTCTCGCCTTTACACAAAGAGATACGTAGACTAGTCCGACAATGGGGAAATACCCGCAAGGGAGCGGGAGAAAACGATGACGGCATGGAGATTAATGAGCTAGTGCTCAGGCTACAGAGTACGTACGGCCGAGACACTGTAAGGTTCGTATCACATTGGTTCGCGAAATGTATACTGTCTTTTTGAGTTTTAACATTTTTGCATTATCAACAGAGACGGTGTTCAGTGGATGATAAATGAAGGTCATCTGTACACTACCATGGACGAAGAACACGTCCGGGTTACGGAATGAAATGATATTTTGTACTGATTTTCCTTTAAGGGCGTTAGTCCTTGTATTCCTGAGTTACTTTGATCGGGTCGGTCGGTTGCAGCGTTGCATGTCTCTGGGACTTGGAATTACGGCAAAAGTTGTAATGTGGGGTTGGTTTTTTATCAAATATACACTTTCATGCGTTCTTAAGCATACTTGCCTCCTGATAATCCATCGTCAGGTAATTCCTACCATTTCTCTTTTTTTTTTTAATTTCATGCGGCCTAAAGTATGGGTTAGACGTTAGTGTATCATTATAATTGTTTGTTTTGGTATCTATCGGTAGTGTCAGACATTTATTTCACCAGTAAGTTTTTTCGAGACAATGTTAATCTAACATGCATATGATGCAATTTATCTAACGATCGAGAAGGTGTGAATGAACGTTGAGAACAAAGTGGCAACCGCGGAATCAAGTTCAGCTCAAGTCTTACTGAAGGGGCATGTTGTTATCTTGAAGACGGATTCTGTCGTTGCAGATTTGATTTATTCAATTGTCTTTAAGGCTGACTAAAATTCATCGAAACATTAAAAAAAAAACGATATTTGAGGAGGGAGGGAAACGAGTTGAGAGTTCTATGTACAACAAGTGAAGAAGAAACTTGTATTAGAATGAGGAATCATAAATATTTAATTGCGTGACTGAATAATCAGTCTTGTTTATTCTTATTGCGCCTTAATATCAAGAAGGTAAAAGTCTGTATTACGGGAGTTTGAAATAAGTTTTCATTTAAACAATCAAACTTATGTTTATTGGGATCGTTTGGTTCTTCACTAATCACATTTACGTGAACTACGAATAAAACATGCCGACGCGCATAATCATGCTCATTCTCTGTAGATGTTACACCAATTTAGCAATTGTACGAATGCTGTAATGATGCGCAAATGTTCCACGTGTTTGAGCCCGAGTACAGAATTCTTTTAGTTTTACCATCACTGTCACAATCGCACAATTCACACATGAATACTCCACCAGCAACGCCTCCATCGTTGGAAAGTTTGAGCAGCTTTTCCAAAGATTTTGACTCTAGCTCACCCGAGACAATATTAGAGACTCCTGTGCTATCAAGCTGCAACGGTTCAAAAGAAGAAAACAATCATACTGACCAGGCAATAATAGACGAGCACGACAATCGCGTGCCAAAGCAGATCGACAGCATTAAGCAAGGTGGAAACGATCCAACAAAGGACGACAGTAATAAATTCGACCCTGTAGATTCAGTAGCCGAAGTTAGCCGCGAGGACATTTCACAAGGACAATCGAATAAATCAACGTTATCAACGTTATGGGTTTTATTCAAAGAAGAAATAACTGCATCAGATTCTGAACACGGACACGACGCGATCGCTGAACGTGTTACAAACTTTTTGGAAATTCCACAGGCATTAGAAGAAGTTTGTATTTGTTTTTCTTTTTTCTTTTTCTTTTTTTGTTCGGGAAAGAACTGACGATGGCAGAGGTTGTGACTGCTGTTAATACAGACTTTCTCGACGCTATTTGATTTCCTGACTTTTTTTTTTCTTTGACTGTTAGTTAATGGTATTTGGGTTGACTGTATGTTTGGATTCATTCTTGTATACGCTCACCATTCTTCCCTTGCGATTTGTCATTGCGTTTTATGCTTTAATAATGAACATTTGGGATAACGTTAAATGCGGAATTAGGAAGAGGTAATTTTGCGAAGCTTATTATATTGATTAAAAGACATTCTTGTTTACGTTTGGCCATATTTGGTTTTAGATCATTGAATCTGTCGCAAACGCGTGACTTACTCAAAGGACTGCTTATAGTTCTCGCATGTATCGCGTTACAACGAATCGATGCATCACGCATGTATCATTCTATTCGTGGTCAGGCTGCTATTAAGCTCTACGTCATATTTAATGTACTTGAGGTAAGCTATATATCAATAAACGAGGTTTACTTTGTCTTCAGCATTGATGGTGTTATGTAACCTTCATACTTTTGTGATTTAATAGATACTAGATAGATTGTTCTGTTCGTTTGGAGGAGATATATTGGACTCTCTTTTTGCCAAATCAACGTTGTGTTCTGACCATAGAGCTGCTTCAACTAAACAACGTCTTAGACCAGCAATGTTTTTTGGGATTGCTTTTATATATATATGTAAGTGTTGTTAAATATATAGTATTATTGTCTTGGTTTTCCTTTATTTACGCTGAACGATATTTTATTTGATGTCTCACAATTCAACAGCGGCACATACAATAATTTTATTTTACCAGGTTATAACTCTTAATGTCGCGATAAATTCCTATTCGAATGCTCTCTTGACCCTGCTATTGTCAAATCAATTCATAGAGATAAAGGGGTCCGTTTTCAAGAGATTTGAAAAAGAGAATTTGTTTCAGTTGAGTTGTGCCGGTATGGACATTTCTCACAAATGTGTTAACACTTATCTCTGTTGAATAGTAACGCTTATCGAGTTTTATTTTTTTGTATAGATATAGTAGAGAGGTTTCAGCTGTCAATGTTCTTGACGATAATCACTGTTCGTAATCTAGTTGAGCTTACTGGAAGTCCCCAGTCTACATTTTCAATACTCCCGGCATCATTTATACCATTGTTTCCGTTTATGAGTAGACTGGAAACACTTCTTACTCCAGTCGTGATTGTCATGGTCTCTGAGCTAATTGTCGACTGGCTGAAGCATGCTTTTATCACAAAGTTTAATCAGATCAGACCTAGCGTATATTCAAAGTATATAGATATACTATGTCGGGATTTAGTACTTGGTAGTCCCCGTACTCATTCGGATACGAATGCCGCAATAATGAAACAGAAAGTAAGTAACTTTGAAGATTTGAAAGAGTACCAATCGTAACGTTTACTGATTCTAATTTGATATAGCCTCCAATAGATCAATCTTCGATACTTTCGCGACGTATTGGATTTGCGGCCCTGCCACTTGCATGTCTGGTGAGATAATTGATTAATTGCCAGTTGATGTTGACAAGACGTGCTGCTATCATTTATTAATCTTTAATGGTTGCTCTCGCGGGCAATAGTTGGTTCGGATGACAATACAGACGTTCAGTATGATATCCGAATTGAGCGCAGATATGGAAGATGCCAATTGTGACACTTCACTACTCACCAAAGTTGCTCAATCAGGGTTTGCTCGTCCCTTGCTGCTAATTGCATTATTTCTAATGTGAGTCTCGACTTTTTATGTTAAAATGGAGCTAACCAAGAATAACGTCAAATAATATTATTCGGTTTTAGTATCGTGCTATTGAAAATTATGGTTGGAGTTTATTTAATGGATTATGCGAAACGTCGGTACACGACAATGGAAAAACGCATGGAAAACGAACAATTAAAGCAGGTTGATGCTGACAAGGAGGTCAAGGTACGAAATTGTTATTGGCATTGTTACAAGCAAATTCTAATGGATATAGACTTACGACATGGTGCTGCGCACTTTCCATTACGCAGAGATTCAGAGCTAATTTCTTCGATAATCCCGAAGACAACGTGTATGGAAAGGAGAAACCAGAAGTCACGTTAGATAATATCGAACGATACACTTTATTCAAAAGTCGAATACCATAGAGAGAAGTGTATAATGGGGATCGTACATTAATATGTTGTTTCATGTAATACGAAACCTCGTGATACATTTTAATTAATTTTATTGTGAAAATGCACTCATTCTATACGTGAATATCTATTCGTATTAAATGCAAAATGAGAAACTGAGATCTGACCAAGTGTTTTTGATGACTTGTAATAATAGTAACCTAGCCAATGCATATCTATATATGCGCATAGACAAGTAGCTATAATACAATTGAGATCACAGGATCAATACAAAATATATAACATGAAAAGAAAACTAGTCAGCTCAGTGATAATTTATTAAAAATGTCCAATGAAAGCATGTTTTGTCGATTTAAAAATTACACTAAAAATGTTGTATTCAGTCACATAGTTAGTTATTAATCGATAGAGACGATAATATTCAAAAATAAAATAAAATAAAATAAAACAAAACAAAACAAAATAAAATAAATATTTGCATTACAAGTAGAATTAACAAACAATACCTTATGAGATCACACAATCATCCTTGTTGCCCTGGCCGCGCGTATGTCGTTCCGGCCTCATCCGCCTTGCGGTTCCTTGATGTTTCATCTCTGTAAGACGTTGCTGTGCCTTTCTATATCCTTGAGCTACAGAAATTACATTAAAATGAGATTCAGTTTGCATAACACGCAAAATATGGAATTCCCGAGGAATATAAAATTATGATAAACGCGAGCAAGTCTAAAAACAATATTCACGTCAGATAAAGTAAAAATAAATACATATGACAGTAACTAATGACTTAAAAATACTAATCGGAGAGAAAGCACCAGCTTCGTTTTTCGTCATATCATACAGTTATCATTATAACACGCTATTCCCCCGATTTGAAAGCCTGTACCGACAAAAAATTTTACCTGCTGCTCGTAAATACCAACGCCTTGCCTCCTCAGGATCTTGCTTAGTACCAATACCATTCTCAGAATAATACCCTATAGCAAACTCAGCCTTGGCAAGTCCCATATCAGCAGCTTTACGTGCCCATAAATACGCTTCATCATCTGATGGTTGCAACACGCCCTCTGAGCCAGTGAGATACCATCCGGACAATGCCAATGCTGCTTCAAGATAGTTCTTTTCGGCTGCCTTGGAATAATAGTATATTGATCTCTGCGGATTCACTGGTTGTCCAAGCAAACCCTGTTCATAGATCAAGCCAAGCTTATAACAAGAAGGTTCATATCCTAGGTCTGCCGCTTTCTTAAATTGTTCGAAAGCAAATTCCTTATCATGTATAACAGACGGAATCTCTCTTTGAATATCTTCCCTTTCATGCAACAGTCCCATTTCATGAAGTGCATGCGGATTAGAAGCATCGGCATTCTGTGCAGCACGCTTAAGCCATGTAACAGCTTCTCGGGGATTTTTGTGTTGGGATAAATGACCTTTCAAAAGAATCATACCCAATTTATACATAGCAGCAGTATCGCCTAGTGCAGCGGCCTTGCGGTAAAACTGAACTGCTCGATGTGCATCTTTCTTCGTCCCCGCACCAATTTCATAACATACAGCAGTACGATAAGTAGCGGCTGCATGATTCTGTTTTGACGCTTGCATGTACAAATTAAATGCTTTGTCATCATCCCTGGGAAGACCCAAAGATCCATTACCATAGCAATTAGCAAGATAAAACTGAGCTTCCGGATAAGCAGGTTTGCCAAACCCCATTCCTTGTGTTGCTAGACGCTTGAGAATTTTCAATGCTTCTTGTATTAACGCATCCTTGGCTTTTTGTGCTGCTTTTGGATCGGCCTCGTTTTCTCCTGCTTCGGCTGATGCTTCAATTAAATATTTGACAAAACTAAGTAGACTGGCCGGATCTCCTGCGGCTTTAACTTTACCACGATATCGTTCAATTGCATCTGGAGAATAATTTGGTCTTTCTGCAACCTCATCGGGGCGTGATGGCCTGCCATGTCGGCCTCCGTTTCCTGAAGAACTGCTAATAGAGTATTGGCGATACGGTGTTGGACCGTATGCTTGACCGGCATATGCAGCTGGATAGTCTTGAGGTCTCATACCTTGATCATAATATGCATACTCGGAAGAAGCTTGAACATAGGGATCTTCTTCTGCGTAATATCCATTGGGTGGTTGATAACCTTGCTGATATTCATACCCATAACTTCCTGGTTGTCCATGTGGTGGTGGCTGTGGTGGCTGTTGTGGCGACGAGAAGTGACCGGGAGGCGGAAACTCTGGAGGAGGATAATCAACGTAAGCTGGATAATTACCACTACCTGCATAAGGATCAAGTTGTTCAGGAGCTTGTGGGGGCAAAGGACTTCGTCTTTGAAAAGAACGAGGGTCTTGGGCTATCCGTGCGTCAACTTGTCCCACGTGATGCGGTTGGGGAGGGAGGCTTGCTTGTCTGTGGGCTGGGTGATAATAATGCTCTGGCTGGGGCGAGCGTGATCTGTGAGAGAGAGATGGCGAGGAGCGAAATGCTCCAGGTTGGACTCCTATTGAGCGTGAAGGCTGAGAGTAAGGATCATCAGTAATCCTTAGATTATTAAAGTTTAGCTGGTCAACGTCCGTGGGTGCAGGACTTGGTGCTGGTTGGAGAGGGGCATAATTATTTCCATAGTCTGCATTATCATAGCCTCGAGGTGCTGAAGAGTTTTGCGAGTCTGAGTATTGTTGTTGACTGCCTGGGGGTAGCCTTGACATTAATGACTGCTGGTTAAATTATAGGAAATGTGACAAGTTAATGTGCGTAATTGAGGATCAAAGTTTCTTCCAGTACGAATAAATAAAAAGAAGTTTGTTAGTATCTATTGTAAGTGAAACATAATGTTGGATGTCACGAATTTCATTCGCCTGTGCGAGTAAATTTTGAAATCACGGCAATATGAAACTATTTGCATTATCGTTATTATTATAGTTTAGCAATTCCAAATCTGCAAATCAAGAAGTGCACTAAATATTAATTTTGAGCAAGACTGCAGACAAATAGTGAATAGTATACATGACGTCACTCATAATTTACTAAATAGAGACTGTTCATTGCAAAGCCTAGCGAACGAATTATTGGCGACAACGTTTAGTAGAAGAATGGCACGCTAATTGAGGAACCATGACACATTATTTCTGTTGAAAATCGTTACAAGCAATTATTAACTTCTGTACTAAAGTTCGTTTAATTGGGACTCGTACCTTCTTTTACTAGCATAAAATCAAAATGAAGGTGCCTCTATCTGAAAAAGTTTACTTGTTGCACATTTCTCATCAATTAACTTGAAAGATTCCAAACCGATCTCTGATTTCATAAAAATAAATAATAACGCCGTTTCGTCTTGGGTACAAAGAATATATGGCAAAACTTGCAACCCCACGCGACCAACAAGGTAGTTTGTGTACAGACCTGTACTGTTCGCCGACAGCACAGTTGGAACAATATGCTCAGGAAATAAAGCTTAACATTCCTTTGCACTTTCTTCCCAATTTCAGGCGTTTTAGCATAACGTTCGAGAATTGTTATTAATTCACCTCCACATTGACTGCATTTCTTAAAATCGCCCGAAAGTTACAGATTTACAAACAGCAATCATTTATATTGTCAGAAGAAACAGAAGTTCTATAGTCTGTCTTACAAACTTCTATTATTTGGCTCGGAGGCTTTTGTTTAAGATTTCGTTTTAAAGCGTTGAAGAGAAACGATAAAATTGGCGGTATACACACTGCTACTAGTCGACGCGCTTGTTCGACTTTTCCAAGGACCTGAGATACGCACAAGCGCGTATCGAATAAGCAATCTTCAAACTTTACGTGTGATTTAATCGATTTGTGCCAATTATATTAACAGAAATTTGGAATAAGCTCGTGCGGGCCGATTTCTTGAGGCCTTATTAGGTAGCTGTAGAAATGCAACAAATTGAGGGTAATATTCGAAGATCGCTTATACCGCTCATATCTTATCCTCTTGTTGGACATGTGTTTGTATTAGCCTTGGTGCGTTTACGGTGTCCATCGTGATAACACTGATTTTGTATTTGTTATAAACGATAGGGTCTATGTGCGAAAGGTGCACTGTGGATTAGCTAGATCGTTGAGTTGTTCTACCGTCTAGTTTTACATAGACAACCTGTTATAGTTATAAGCCAGTTGGGATGTTTGTAGGATAAACCACACTCATCATCATATTAATATGTTACTAACCTGACTATATTGTGAGATCGAGTCTCACGCATGGATTTGTAAAAATCTCCCGAATCTCTGCTTCTTGGGAATTACGTACGCATACTTCAATGTATGCTTGCTTTGTCAGACGCATCGGTTTTACGTTTAATATTTCTGCTGTTATTATTTGTTTTACTTTATATGTCCAGGGTAGAGCACGGATGGATTGAATCGATCAACTATAGTCAACTATAATCAATCAATTGGCATGTTACATAACTAAGACTCCATCAAGCAATGCCCAGAGAAAAATTACCCGGGCAGGCCATTTAGATCTCTATTAATCTGAAGTCCACACCTATCACACCTAAATACTTTATTTCCACTCAAGTTCCTCTTAATATATCCGCAACGACTGTACATTTTGCTTGTATATGCTTCAGATACGGATTTTATTACGGCTTTACCAAATTCTTCCGCTTTAGATAGTGATCGATTCCTAAATCTAGCATGCGCCCAGCTCATCATCTTTCAAACTACGAGGCAACAAAAACGCCCACACCAACGCGAGGGTGTTTTCGACGTACTGGGTAAATTTGTTGAGGGTCTGTATCCGAAGTAGTCCGCGCTGCCATCAGAATAAGAAGGTGAAAATTTTTTCGGGGAATGGTCGCACGCTCCCTTTTATACGGGAGTCATAACCGACAATCACATGTGTTGGCGACGGGCTTGAGTAAGATTTTAAACTTGATTAATTATCAAGTTGACAATTCTGTAGACTCTCTATGCTGGCATCTACGGGTATCATTGATTTCACTAGCTGGTATTTTTATACGCACAACTTCTTGATCCTCTTGATCTATTATACTTTAATTGCAATAGACGCCATTAAATTATCCGCAATTAGTTGAATATGAAGACTAAAAGTCATACAAATACGACAGGTAAAAATATTCCCTGGTAGGTCACATCTGTAATAGATTACTATAGAAAATTGGGAATAGGGATATATCTGACTGAGATGTATCTAAGATGCCCAGAGTCAAAGCTGGGTTTGGGATACAAGTGAGAGAGATATAACTGAGGTAGGACTGTATGCTACAAGTTTATGAGCACGAATATATACAAAAATCGCTATTACAGTAATGACGGAAATAAATAAATTTTTATTATTTTTTTTTACTCCTCAGTTGAGGTGGCATTTATTTTACATAAAGTTTTACATCCAACTGAATTTGGAACCAGACATAAGGATAATAATCCTTCCCGAGAAGATTATGCAGTTCTTCAATGTTTTCATCTTTATACGCCTCGTGACCCATAGCACCTCCAAGTCGGCCATATTCGACATTTAATACTTCGCGGGTTTTCTTCTCCATTTTTGGTTTTGGCTACATTGTGGCAAATAAAAACATAAATAAGTCGTTTGCCAATAATATTTCGTGCAATGTGCATGATTGTCTTTTGAAACCATACTTTTATTATCGCCGACATGAAATCAGGTGGCAGTCCATAACGAAGCACGGATTCGACATAAACTCGCAGTGCTTTGAGATGAATCCATGCTGAAAAGACTTCCCCAAAGTTAGTTTTTGCTAGCCGTAAGAGTGAAGACTGGAATTGGTACAAAGTGAAGGTGAGTACAATTACGTACGAATTATCACTCGACTGTTTGGGAAAAAAGAGAAAATAACCGATAAATAATAAACATAGAATTACAGATAATTCTTTTTCACTTTCTCCCGCTTCTTGTAATTCTTTACGCTGGCTTTCTAGATTCGCTTCATCATATTTGAATTCTCTGACAATAAATCTAAGGAGTAACTTGTTAATGGATCATCGTTTGTATGATGAAATCAACAGGCTGAATAATGAACATTATAGCTCATCAGCTTACTTCTCTTCTCGACACTTGTGTGCAAATTCATCTGCTACTCGCTTAAACAGTGTCACATTGAACAGTCCATACTCATCATCTTCGGCTATTTTTCTATTCAGTAAATTACAAATCTTAATTAGTATTAAGGCTCCTTTACGATCAGTAAAAAGTCTTACTTACTCGGATGAACGCGGAACTACGAAATTCGTTAATGTCTCGTATTTACCATACCAGTCTTTGTAGAGGTTCCTGTTTTAATTGAATAATAGTCAGTGTACACTGATTAACCAGATGTCACGAGAAAGCAGTACTGACATTATTATTAACAATTTCATGATTGGCGGACCTCGGAACAGCAATGAGAAGCGTCTCCAAATATTCCGAATCGAGTACAAAGTGCGACTTTTTGACAACGCCTGCCAATGTGCGTACTGCAAGATTGCCACTGATACGTAAAAGGGAAAGTAAAAATCAGAAAACGGTTCATATTTAACAAATAGTACGGCTTAATAATCGGTGCTGATCTTACGTTTGCTTACGTTCCAACGCAATGAGATTGCCTTTGACTTGATTATAATTCGCCAGTTTGTTTTTCATCAGATTTTCGATCGCGGCCACTTCCTAACATAAAGACACGCACGCACGATAAATATATCAAATGCTAGTGACGCTTTCTAGTTGCTCTTTTAACTGAGTTAATTACTTGATTAATGGCTTCCGCAATTTCAGCCAAGGATTTATCCGCCCGATATTTTTGAGTGTGCCATTGGAATCCCTTCAGATATTGAGCAATACTTCCTTTTGATGGCCGGAAAATGAGTGAAACAACAGCAAGTTAGTCAAGTTACTATAATCATTACTATAATGATGCGTTCATTTATGGATCAATTAATTTCTCTCTACTCACTTCCATTAACAACAAAATGAGAGCGTATCTTATCCACATCATTCTTCAATAAATTCTTTAGAATATCAACGATTTTGACTATGGATACTTCGATCGCTTGATCATACTTGATGAGTTCGTCCGAAATAACTACCAACGAATCAAGTGTCCCAATCTGTACAGACAGAAAGCACCCGCTCAGTCTCTCTTAATAAATAAACGATCAAAGCTCTTTATAACATATAGTTTACATACAATCTCTCACCTTGAACTCAGGAAGAATAAATTGATACACCTCGGCATAGTCGACTGAAGAAGAGTATAGCTTGCCCCTGAGGTTTTGAAAAGCACCTGCTTTATTACCCTCAGCGGGTACTTTGAGCAAGACAAGCATGAAGATCAGACCTGCCAAACCAAGTAGTTTGAAAGCAATGTTCAGCATATAGAAAGTTATTGTAACAAATACCGGATATAAACCAATACGTATTAGTAGCCATTCTTCCTAGTTATGTTGTCTTCTAACTGTTAAACACTTTATTCGAATACCGCCGAGATACCACATATGTATCTCAAACAAGATTTTAATCTAAATCTCTAAATCTGATCTTTGGTGAGATCCAAATCAGATCTACAACTGTAATTTTTATTATCCGATCACGCGCGTGATCTCGTAGACATTACATCGACGTGGAATATAGTTCTCGGATGTAAACATTCTGAATCTGCTGACGAGCTCAAAATCAGTACGAAAGGTTGCAAATTTCGAAACGATAACATATGCATTCACTTTCCCTTGGTTTATACATATTGCTGGATTTGAAGAATTGATGGTGTTTATGTGAAACAGCATGCGATTGTTACAGTCGGCGTCCAAATTTGAGTGGGAGAGCAATTAAATTGCGTGGGCATGTTTTTAGTACTAATTAAACAGGGCGATCTTTGATTTAGTGATTCGACTAGTTGGAAAACGTCACTTATTTTTAATTAAACAACAAAATAATTATTATTATCATTCTTTCTTGAATCTTTAATTATGGCTGTTGCTTTGAAATTGACGAACATACTGCAGTGACAACTTTCTTCAACAAATGACAGCTGGAATGAATTCCGAAAAGCCCGATTTTCACTCCACTTATTTTTTTTGTGAAAACTTTTCCTTATCGAATTTCCACTTTGGCTAATATCGTGAACGATAGAAATAAATAAAACGGTTCGAAATAATAATTACAAAATAATAATTAAAATCGATCGTTTATTATACTCAATACTCCAGTATCGACTATTAAAAATTATAACGTTAATTAAACACATACAATATGAGTTTTGGGACGTTGGGAGAAAGACTGCTTATACATCTTTAAGAGCAGATGAAACTCCACTTCTGCGCCTGTCACCATAATTTGTAACCCGTTCTTAAATTAATAAATGTTTATTTGTACTCCGTTTTTTGTAAACCACTTTTATTACTATGGCCTGGTAACACTCTGATCTATCAAGATTTTACCTTTGATAGCTTGAAATTAAGGATTGATCGTTCTCTCCTCTTCATTACTTGAAGAGCTACACAACACGTACAGTGTGTTAATAAAAAATTAGCCTCTGCTTTTACAATAACTTTATAGAAATTGCTTTAATTTTAACATGGAATGGCTTATTTGAACGTTACAAGCAAAGGTTTTACCAGTATAAAAAAATAATTTTATTAATTAATAATTAATTTGTCTGCCATTATTGTCTATTATTTGACTAACAATGGTCATGCATTAATTGATCAAAAATTTAATGAAAATATTTTTCCACTCTTTACCATATTGTTGCGGTCGGCAGCCGAGTTGTGGGAGAGCGATAATTTTTTCGCGTAGGTGTGTTTGCTGACAGGGAAATGTTCTAATTTAGCTTCGGCTCACCGTCCTTTTGCTTTTGCGACTGAATCTAAAATTTTAAGTGATCTAATTTAATTATTTGATGTGCACGCTTCTTCACTCCCTATACGATGTATCTCCGTACTCGTATCCAATTATTATCTAACTATCCTAAATTAAATAGGGCGATCTTCGTGTCGACTAGTCGGGAAACGCCACTTGTCTATTCCCAAATCAATTAAATAATACTTGTTTATAATATCAATTATAGACTTTTGTTCCGCTAATTATTGCGTTTACTATTATGCAATTATAATTTAATATTAATTAATATTTGAAATCGAATATTAAAAAAAGTCGTTTACCGTAAATGTGTTGTATGGCTATCACGTGATAATTACCGCATGCTATTATTATTATTATAAATTATTATCATTATTATTATTATTATTATTATTATTACATGAGTCTATTACTACGCCTTTTTTGGGCGTATCTTTGCGTTTTAGCCATCTTGCGGGGGCATACCAAATGCGGTGATTACTGCTATAACCTACTGGCCACGAGGCCGCTTGTAATGGAGATTGTCAAAGAGACCAAATTATTACCAAACTAAAAGAGTTCTCTTGTCTGCAATGCGCTTCCAAGTTGTATGCCCAATTAGTGAAAGAGTAGCACGAAGTTATTATTACAATAACAAATTCTTTGCAAAGTCCAATAATAGACATGTAAACCGATATTACTCAATTATTAGGGCTGGTGTGCTCACCATGCAATAAGCTTGTGTCCTCCAAGTGAATGTTAAGCTGTTAAAAACAAACTAATATAGTTTAATATGTACCGAATATCCTGTGTCAAACTTAAATAAGCATTCGGTTAGAAACTAACCTTAATTGCGGGTATGATATAAGAATTCCAACAATGAGAATTAGTAAAACGTGAAAGTTAACCCTCTTTTATCTGAAACAGGACAAGATTCAAATCTCCATCTCATTCATCTCCGGAACAAGCTTAGTAAGCATCTTTGATTTCATGATTCAAGGGAATGTCAGCATTCTTTGCGCAGACGTTTACGTGAAACTTTTTTTCTTGACGGATGTCGATAGAGTATCCAATGAACGGGCTTTATAAAATTGCACCAATGACACACCCACGTTCGTATATTAATGTTTGTGCTTTTCTCAGATACGTTCGATTAGCAACATTCTAGATTAGCTATGATATAAGTGAAGTACTGTCATATAATAATTGCGGAATTCTTGTATTTGATAAATCACTGTCGCGGTGAGATTGGATTAGAACATTAAAGACTCTGTTATAGTAAATAATCAAACTTTCCAGAGTTGGGTGAAATCGACTAAAAGGCATGTGACCAATAACATCGCGAAGTTTTAATTTGCACCAATAGCATAACCCGAGAGAAGTCTTGGCTCGATGTAATCATTAATAGCCAATTCATGTGAAAAGCACAAGACCAAAGACAAGCAACAGCGGAGAAACTCAATTTTCCAAAGAGCGACTTATGCGCCAAAAAGTCACTGCGGTTTAGTGACCCCCGCAACTTGCTTTGTACTACTTTGCACATTGTTCGTTTGTTTTACGCGTATACAAATCGCTTGTATAATGACATCTCTTGGATATCATAAATTCTTAATAGTCAGATATTCGTTCGCCATCAACTCATCTCAATGGACGCATAATAACGATGCAGATATGTTCATTGTTCTTGAGAATATGTATTCATCCGACGCACTTGCCCGATCCACCGGGGAGCCAACGTTCAAGATTACAAGACATAATGACGAATTAGTAAATATTAACGAAATGTTTGGCCGTAACAAGTCTGGAGTCAATCAATACAAAAATCAATGTATGTTTTTTTTACAAATAGGAATGCGTCAACCTGTCTTATAACACGTTGAATCCACGCGCATTGATGAAATATCCCGTATTCGGGTTAAAGTACCAGCAAAATTACCAAAACTTGTTGGTAACTAGAGAAGTTTACTGCCAATTGATAAAATGTTTATAACTTAAACTGTTAACCATTCAAATATTCTCCCTTTCGTTTTGTCTTAGCAACAGCGTAAATTTCAAGTAAAATTTTTCGATACGGATGACTATATAGAGTGCGGGAGAATCGTCTCGAGATATATCAACTGCAAGTTTATACGATCAAATGACCAGTCATTACCGCAAAAGAACAACGTCAAACCACAGTTTGCAAATTCCATTGCCCAAACAGCGACTACGATGCAGCCCATGACATCTAACTTTTTAGCAAACAATTTATCTGATGAACAAGGAATAAAGAACGAAGCGAACATGACAAAAAATCGACCCACAGTCCATTTGCCCATCAAACCAAATGCTCAAAATACAACAGAAAACCACAACTGCATGCCACGGTCGCATATCTCTCTCCCTGCATCGCTCGCTCAATTGAATAATGAAAAACCATCACTCGCCTCTCAGATATCTCTACCGTTGGCAAATCATAGCTACAACAACGTTGGTAGCAAAGATCATTGTGATAATATTGTCGTATCATCAAATGTCACACCTGATGAACCACAAGTCGGTATTATAAGGAACCAACGGCAAACAGCTACAACCACAAACCCAATTTCGTTTGCTTGTCACGACAACCGCACAACTTGCGATTGTTGTCAATCAGCCAAATCACACATCATGCCAAATGCTGCCTACGTCCATGATCCCGGTTGTCAACCCATGTCGAATACAAATTACTCATCTTGTTCTTCAGGTTTCCTACACTGTAAACCAGAGGACGGTAGGCGCGTAAAGACAGAGGAAGGAAGACAAGGTGAAACAACTGCTGGTTGGCAAAGTGCTATCGATTTAATTAGTGACGATGAGAGTGACAATGTCTTGGCTAGTGAGAAACAAGTAAATGAATATGAACTGAAATATGGAATTAACCAGCAGCAATGGCAGCAACAAATTGTCCAGTCTCTACCCCAAAACTTTCCGAATTTTTCTTCGTCTCATACTAGATTGTCCTCATCAAGTTACCCAATTCACGATGCTATACTGAAGGAGTGGATGATAAACATACTCCAAGATCCAGAATTTCCTTCACTTGTAAGTTGCATGCTGGTTGGGAGGTAGAATGTGTTTTAGAATAACTCGGGAGAGATCCGACTCTCTAAATTATTAAAGAAAAAGAAAACATTCTGACCTTATTGTATTTACAGGTTGAGAAAGTTACTGCAATATTGATGAGCACTTGATAATTATAAAACGATTGTTTTTATTGTAAGTACTCTGAAATAAGACAAAAAGGTATGAAATTAACGTAAAATTAATTAGTTATGCTATGTTCATTGAAGGAAGAAGCAATAAATCTATGCTTATGCTCAATTGTATGTACAAAAGCAGTTATTCCTGTTCTAATAAAGAAATTACTTAGTATTAGGGGTAATAGTAATGTAAAAATCATTACATTTCGTATAAATAAAATATTCCTAAGGCCTACACCTTGGCGCCAATCCCCATTCCCTTAATGGATTGGAAACTTTTTTATTATTGAGCGCTAACGGGATCGAAACCTTGTATTCCTACTGGCCAATATTTGCTTATATACAAAAAATTTTATTTTTCGAAACAATTACTTATAGTTTTTAATCTTTCGAATTACGACTAACGCTAATTGCCTACACAAGGGCTATTACTGTTATAACAACAATACGAATCGCTTTCGTCATGTTTACAAAATGCTAAGAACTATTATCGAATGTTTGATATTACAGCTGCTAATGAATACGATAAATAAATCGTCATCAATCGCAAGACAAAGTAATATGTAAGATATAATCGTATGTTCATCAACCGCAAGATAACTACCATTAATAAACTTTTGTATATAATGAGAATTATGCATTAGTATCGATGCACGGCAAACGTTGACTAGTAGGAATACAAGGTTTCGATCCGTTATTTATACGAAATGTAATAATTCCTAATGCTAAGTAATTTCTTTATTAGAACAGGAACCCTTATCAGGAAACGCACCAAACAGCCTAAAAATAAGAGCAAACGAAAATCTTGAAGATTACTTTTTGCCGAATACGTATGATAAACATATACAGTCGTACCCCCCCTATGATCACGCCCCAAAACCGGTGACTATAGAGAGTGTGACTTACATAAGAGGATCCTTCATAGTCACGTGCATGAAAGACTATATAGACGAAGTCATTAAGTAAATAACTGTATCATGATCTTATGTATAACATTGCTTTATTCAACCGCAGAGAGCTTATCATATTGCCTAAACGGACAAAGCCACTGCCCTAAATACTTGATTATCGCAAGTAAGACTTTCTTACCATACTAAAGACTAGATACAGAGATTATTAAACGTCTATCAAAACATCCCTGCGAATCACACAGAGAAAAATTCCATATAACAAATAAAATGACAAAACCGTTTCGCCAACAGCTGAACATAACATATATCACTCTCGAAAAAGGAATCCAGCGTTTTTTGTTTTTTACTCTTATCTATCAAACATTCGGGAACAGATATCTTACGACGAAGGCATATGAATCTATTGTTTTCTGCGACATTTTTTTTTGAGTGCACGCCAACACATAGTGATCACATGTTTGTAAATACTTTGTTCACGTGATGTGACTAAAAAGGAGGAAATTTACATACAGTTGAAGCTGTTTATGTGAATATCTGGTTAAACGGAACTCTGGCTGTAGTGAACCAAAATGCCCAGACCCGAAATTTTATTAAATAATAAAGCTGTTTATAGTGAATTTTACTAATAAATTTGTTTATAGTGGCTGTGAACTTGTTGTTCAAAGCCCAATTTAGCGAGCACCTCGTTGTGAATAAAAGTTCCTCGCGATAGTTGTTCAAAGCCCAAATCGAAATTTCATATGATATTCCCGCTTTCTATTGTATGGAATGATTAGGCCATTAGCCAAATTTAATTATAGTTATTATTATCAGGTAACCAGACTGTAAAACAATTGCAGAACAATGCTAACATTGATTATGTTCACGTTGAAAATGAGAACAATTGGATTATCCTTACTGATGAAGATGTAATAGCGAAAGTGAAGCTGAAATGGTAGAAAGTTAGAAACAATAAGTAGTAGAACGGCCAGTATATCAATTGACACAGTTTTAAAAATTTTATATCAACAAGGACCAGAATTTGGCGAAGTTGTCGAAGAAGTAAAGATTTTGAGAGCATTACGCAGAACGGGTGGTGAGAAAAATCTTAAACAGGTTAGTCTTCACCATTTTTGAAGATAAAATGCTCGAACAAGAGTAATAAAAAGGCCATTGTTGCACATGTGTATTTATGTCACATGACATTCATTATAATGAATAGTGCGCAGACAGTAATAGTCCTTCGCTCAATAAAATATATTTCGCAAATTTATTAAAATGGTTTTACGCTTAAGATTGCTAAGGCCTCTG